CTTCTTCTCCTGGACCTGTGCCCGTCTGGCCGACGTCGTGCCCGAGGCACTTCACTCTTCATCCTTGACCATTCGCTCTTGTCTAAGAGCAAGTGGAAACCGGTCTTCCTGCACTGTTCCAGGAGGAGCTTAACCCGCTGCAGTACACTGTCGAAGTCCTGTCTGCAAATGACGATGTCGTCCATGCAGCAGAACGCATTTTCTCTTAGCAGCGGTTCGAAGCAGGAATCCGTTGCGCGTTGGAACTCAGCGGGCGAGTCTTTGATGCCGAATGGGATGATATTGAACTCGAGAAGGCCAATCGGAGTTATAAAGGCGGCGAGCGCCTTGCACCCCTCCTCCACCGGCACGTTCCAGAACCCTGAGTTCATGTCTAGCGTGCAGTAGTATCTCTGTCCGGCCGCCCGTCGCAGGGAGGGGGTAGGGGTCTGCTACCATGGCCGCGTTGAGCCTGCGGCAGTCGATGACGCACCAACATCCCCGGTCTTCTTCTTTATGAAGTGAGGAGCAGCAGCCCACTCGCTCTTGGAGGGTCGGATGACTCCTAGCTCCAGTTGCTTCGCGACGTGCTTCTTCAACTCCTCCAGCATTTCGGGTTCGTGGTGATGCACCCTGGCCTTTTGCGGCCGCCCTGCTACCTCGAACCGTGCTTCGTACTTGACCTGCGCCACCTTGGGGTCTTCCCACTTATCCTTGAACTCCTCCAGGAGCTCCCACAGCCGCTCGCGGTGCTCGCCGTCCATGTGCAGTGTGTTTGGCTCAAAGAGCCGTTTCTGCTTCGCGTGGTTCGTTTCCACCGGTAGGTTGGGCAGGTCATTTGGCGGTATGACCGTGAAGGTGACGTTTTTCTTGTGCTCGCCGATGCGCGTCTCGATTCCCCGTTGCAGTTCTTCATAGATGATCCAGCAACCTGCCCCTCACAGCATCAGCTGCGGTCGTGAGTTGCGTGCTGGGCACCCTTCCCCTTCACCGTGGCGGGGGAGCCCCAGTTGTAGCAGAGCCGCTTCGTCCTTATTTGACGTGGGAGAGTACACCATGGATACCGTCTCGGGGCATCTCCCCGTTGCGACGACGACCAGCACCGGCGTCCCATGCCAGTTGTAATGGTTCGTTATCTTGTGCAGGACGTCGAACAGGCTCGTCCCAGTGCCCATGTTCACAAACCAGGTCCTCCACTGCGGAGATGCCACGTCAAGGATGGGCCGCTCCAGGAATTTGCGTGATACGGTGTCTGGGGCATTCCAGCGGCGGGCGAATCTCACGTAGCGCGTTAGTCGTTGGTAAAACAGTTCCCTGAGTTGCGGGAAGTATCTGGGTTGGATGGTCGCAATCGCCATGTACCCGTCGGCCACGTAGTTGCTAGTTGGGAACATTCTCGTGGCAACGTCTGAGGTGAAGTCTTGGACTTTTGTGGGATTCTGTTCCAAAGTAGTTGAACCATGGCGGTTTCTTAATGTTGAATGCTGCATGTCGGACTGCGACCGCTACGGAATCGAACCAGTCTCCGCGTTGGTGACGTCGGCTTCGGGTCACGGCTTGCCGATGGCCGCCAAACCCACTCGTTTCGTTCGGATTTCTCATCGGCTTTAATCACAAAAACCTCGGCATGTAGCGGAAGTCTACGGCACCCTCAAACAGCTATCGCCAAGTGATTCGTCCCTGATCGGTTGGGGAGCCGGGGCATCACTGTTGCTGTTGTCCCTGAATTACTTATCGCTGTTGGTGTCCGGTAATTGGCTTTGTCTCTGTGGGTATAAGTCGCGGGGAGGAGTTGTGACAAAAGTGTATGTAAAAAACTTTCTGGAGATCGGCTTATCATAGATTCACAGACAGCTAACCCAGCCAATGACCTACCGTCGGGCCACTCGTGCGGAAACTAGCTACAACTGGAACTCCCACCAAGGTGCTTCGATTAGTTAGAGGGGCGATCAAAGATGTGTCCCCAATTCTTGAATCAAGAATTCAGGTGTTCGGGCATTCAATGAAAAGAACTCCGGCGCTGTGATGTCTGACTTTGAGTTCACTGGGTTCAGGTGATTTCCCGGCGGTCGCTGGTAGGGACACTGGCAGGACAGAAAGGTTTGCTTCCGGGACCCAAAACACCACCATAGGTTTTGTTAACGACTTCTCTAACTGGTATTGGCGGACGGCAGTGGGCAAAGTGGTGTCTGGGCAGTTCCCGCTGGACGGTGCTTTGTGGGTGGCTGGTGCACTCCTTCTGCTTCTGATTTTTGTTAGAGTCCTGAAGGGTACAGCTTGCTTGCTTATCATTCCACTAGGCTACGCAATTTTCTCTGGACTCTTTTCGAGCCTCCGCACCAGGAGCAACCAACCCGCCGCAGATGACCGTGCAACCCGTGGCAGAGAACGCCCGGACAGCGGACCCTTCGGGTCGCCCGAGGAGCGGGCCGCTGCTATACGCGCCTTCCGCGAGTCCCTTCTGCAGGCCGTCCAGGTCGCCAGGCCGTCCAGGTCGCCAGCGTCCAAGAAATCCGAAACTTCTACGCCCAGGGATCGAGTGCACGGCCGTCCGAGACGCAACCGTCCGAGACTCGGCTGTCCGAGGGAAGGGCTGCGAACGGTCCCGCCGCGGAGGGAAGTTCGTCAT